CAGCGTCGATGGCACCACATATGACTCGACTTCTGAAGTTATAACTCCGGTCGAAGCAGCATTGTGTTCTTGACCTGATCAGTCAGTGCGGAGCAGCCAGAGGCCAGCAGCCAGGACTGGGCGCTTAAGACACGCCCCAAACAAGAATGGACTGCCAGGTCGTAAGCACTAACCAACACCGGCTTGACAACACTAGGGCAAGACGAATGTATTTGAAAACAAATCACCGGCGTGCCCGACCTTCGATCGGTTCAAAACCGAAGGGAAATCAAGATCGCCTGCCCACGCTGATGCTCCAGCACGATCCAACTCCCAACCTCACATCCGCACGACGAGACCACATGGTCGTCGTATTAACAGCACTGCAACAAATGTAAGTTTAATGCTGACCCGCACTTCGTAAATATACAAATATTTTCGTTTTCTCTATTTCACGCGGGTAGGTATTTCCTGTTCTAAAATGCCATTTGCGATTCCTACTTCTCAACTCTAGATTTTCTTAACAGCTTTATTTTGCTTTACACGTTTTTATTACAAAAACTAATAAAATATGGGTAAGGTGATAACGCATTATTAAATAGAAAAAAAGGTAACCAATTATCACAGGTATAAAAAGAGGTGGAGAAAATGTTATAGTTATTTTTTACTAAATGATTACTTAATTCACGTAAAATATTAGATATTGTCTTTGTATTTATTCTTTTATTATTCAGTCGCTACGTTCAAGCCTAAAATGAATAGCATGAAAATTCAGGTAATGTTTACAGATATTTACCAAAAAGTGTGCATATATACTCGGAAGCTCAGAACAACCGGTAAACGAAAACAGAAAAAGAAGAACGAAAGACGGTATGATGCCTATAATATATCCGTTGCTGTTTTTCATAATGGCAGTTCTTGCGTCACTCGAAGTTACACCAAGAATTGTGTGCCCAAATACTACTGTAAATAATATTCTTTAAAATTTTCGGGGAGTGGCGTCCGTGGGCTGCGCTGCGTGTGTTGAAACGGCACTTTGACTGCTAGGAAGGCGCAGCCTGCTTATGACGCTCGAACTAAAAAACTACGAAAATGACGACAAGTATCCCAGATCGCCATGATCAGTGTGAAAATATAAATTTCCTCCAACACAATGAGAAACATTCGTTGACATTAAACCTCTAAAAATGTACGCAGTCTAAACCACATAAAAATAGCATCAAGGCAGGATATTTGCATAAATGTTAGTGCTTCCCGTTGGCAAAAAAATTACAATCGCGACAAATTATTAAAAAAAAAAATCTAAGATATCAACCAACAGAAAAGCCAGAAAATTACGTTAAAGGCGTGCATTAATACTTTTCGTACTAGTTCGGAATTTGCAGTGAGAGGGAGCTCATGTAACGTTAGAACACGGAGGAAAAACTTGTTTGTTCTGAAAATGAAACCTATGTTGGGAGTTATAAGCAAAATAAGATTACAGAAGCAAGTAAAACGTTCAGCACCGTGACGTATGATGAAAAATTAACTGATCGGGGGGTTGGAGAGAAGCGGCTGACAAATTGGCTCCGGGTTGGGTTCATGGCTGGTGCGTCGAGGACGGGTGCGCCTCGTCGCCATAGGCCCCCTTGCATCGTCCTAGATTCAGGCTCCGAACTCGATTGTCCAGACGTCTTTTACTACGCTGCGCCCCGCTGGTACCGTCGCGCTAAGAGCCCGGCGAAACTGAGTCCACCGCAGACTAGCGGGCTCTGCTCCACACTGTTTTCCCCTTCTGCTGATTGGTCGGTGTAATCGAAGCAGAGATTCGGGTAAGTAGGTGGCTGCACCATGACAGATAAACAAAAATTTATGGAGTTGATTGGTTGAAATAAGCATTTATTTTCTTCGGGGTATTACACAAATGCGGGCTGAAAAATATCACAATACCGCGCTCGTTACCAATCCGCCTGCCGGATTCTGTTTGGACGACAAATCGACCCTTGGAATTCTAATTTTTGAACATGAACGGCTGCCGGAACGTATGAGCACATGGCCATAAGTAGCTTATACATGAGGTCATTCTGAACTCTATTTTACAATTAGAGACCTCGAGACAAGGAACAGAGAGGAAAAGGACAACATCTTCATTTGATGCGGTGTCCTCCTTGTCCTATCTGTTCCTTGTCTCGAGGTTTTTCATTATGAATGTGCACCAGCTCGCATGCGCTTTTACTCTGATTTCTAATTCACTCTAACATTAGCACGCCATCTAGACTCAAGGTCTTTTCCGGCATTCCGGGCGACCGCGTCTGGTTCATCAAATTCCAATTTGGGGGTTTTACGTGCCAAACCTACGACGGGCATCTGGCACGCCCCAGCGGAGGACTGAGGATTAATTTCGACCACCTGGGGATCGTTTGACGTGCAACCGAAAGCTCGGTTACATGGCGCCTTCTCCGCAATAAGCCTCCGTCATATTGCGGGCACCTCGGTCGGGATTCGAACCCGCCACCTGGGGATCCGTAGGCCGGCGCCCTCGCCTCGGAGCCACCGAGGCGGCTGCTCTGGTTCATCAGGCGTACGAGTCTTGTCGAGATAACGCCAGTAGCACACTTGACTCGTGCAATCCAGCGCAGTTGAGTGGAAACCAAGACAAAAACACGGAGACACCAAACTGACCTGTGACGTGTTGTATCACCACTTTTCGGACGATAGATTTATGATGATCATCGTGAAATAGACGCAGGATTAAACGATAAAGCGCGCGTGAATAAACGAGCTCAAGATGGAACGGTGACGTGTCTGTATGTATTACTTGATTGTTCTTCCCGACACAACATAGTTTCGGCGACGAGGATGTTGAGGTTTCAAGCATTGCCTTTGCTGGTTCGGCCGTTCAACGATGTACTACAATGAACACCGGCAGCCTTCCGCCGTCGCCTCTGTTTCATGAGAATCGAGGCAAAGCTCCCGTACCTTGAAAGCAACGGCGCCGAGTGTTCGAAATTTACCTGATGGTCGTGGACACCCGCGATTTCATCCCCGAGCGAAAACAGGCTGTGTTGATCTACCCGTTAGGCACGGAGGGGCAGTGCATCTTCTACGCAATGCCACTGGGTACGCCCGCTACAGTTTTTACGCCTACTATGGGGACACGGGAAAAAGATAATGGTCAAGGCAAGCCACCGATTGCTCCACCTGAATACAACTCTTCAATGTCTCCACTGGAAACGAGTTACGCCGAGTCATAAAACGTCGTGGCTGATCGAAGATTTTGACAGCGACCCCTAATGCCCGACAAGACCTTTAAAGAGTTTGTCACCACATTGAGGGGTCTTGTTTCTATATGCGACTTTGGGACGACTCTGGACGAGGCTCTACGCAACCAACTGGTCGAGAAGGGTCGCTACCCTTTGTACAAGAGCGCCTTCTGCTAAAGGGCTCTGCGCTCACTTTAGACAGGGCCGTCCTACTGGCCAACCAGGTGTAGCAACGCAGAAGGAAAGACCAAGGGCTCTAAACTCGTCAAACACAAAGTTTGGGACGAAGTTCACGGACCGAGCCGATTGGAGTATCACGACGATGACTTCGCGCTTTTTTCGCCAGCGTCCAATCGGCGTGCTCCGCCAACTTTCGGCTCAAACTTTGTGTTTGACGAGTTTAGGGCCCCAGCTCACGAATAATATATCGACAGGTTTAGCGCCAGATCAAGTGGTACGCAATAAACAGCCAAATTTGGCCGGGAAAGTCAGCCAGGCTGGTACAGATGCTTCTAACCAAGGTCCACCGGAGAACAGAACGTGCCGCAGATGCGACTCAACGCTGCATTGGGTCAATTTATCAAAATCCATTGCAAGAAAGAGTGAGTGCCAAAATTGTAATAAACGCGGACACTTCGGATCACTTTCCCGAGAAGAACGAAGTGTGCCAACAGCATGCGCGAGATGGCGATTAATCACGCCGGCGTAGAGCAAGACGAAGTTCAACTACAATACAAGCAACAACACAAGTAAAATCTCCTGTTTGACTGCAACAACCACTTTCTTTCTCAAATATTTAGGCCGCGACCGCAGCTCATTTTTGCGATTCAGTTGTTTACGAGAAAGCTGGAGCAACACCACCTAGAATGTTCAAAGCCTGCGCACTAGAATTTCTACCTCACCGAAGGAGATCGAGCCAAGACACAGGTTGGACACAACCTCTGTTTCAGCGTTCGGCTAAGCCTCGTGTCCCAACGCGTTGAAGGGCGTTCGGCACAGGGCTCGTGTCCAGTTGCTGAGTGGGCAACATCCGACTGCAATGGCGTTTCATAGAGGGAGGTGAAAACATGTTCCCATGCCTTGATTATTCTATAGGCCGGGAAAAAAAGAAATGAGCAGGTCGTGGAACAAAGGCAAGTATACTTCATTTGGAAGGACCAAGAGGTTTTCGCGACTTCACTAACATAAATTATTAATACTATGTGAGTTTGCGAAGCCCCAGAACGTTTTCTTACAATACTCAACAGATTATTCAAGCAAAATAAGAAAAGGAAGATCGACGGATAACGCAATAGAAAACGTGCATGGAACAAACGGGACGAGATTTTAAATTAGCAAGATATTTATTATTTTTCAAATATGGATGAACGGGAACCCAAATCCAAAAGGAGAATGTCTAATGCCAACAGAAAAAAAGACAGAATGTATTGAGAGGAAAGGGAAATCACTTTCTGTTTGTAAAAAAGAAAAAAAAAAAATGGCGTCATCTCGAATCATCTCGAATTCTCCGGATGAGTTTGCCGCTGATGAAGTATTGGAAAAATATGTTTTTGTACCTCGAAAGGGTGGGCACGGCTTTTCCCGTTTGTCTGGTACTTTTATGTTTTGAACGCATCCATGTTGCCACCAACATGCTCCGCGGTTTATCTTAGACTAACTGATTACGTAGAGGTCTGCCGGTAATAAGGGATGATGAGAATAGTTGCCCTGGCAACACCGGCTCGATAGAACGCTCCAGCATTTCGCGAACCGCTCTATGCGTAATTAAAGACATGGTTTGTCCATGGCCGCTTTTATCGGTTACTCTGCATGGGGACGCGACGTTCAGATGACCTTGGTTGAAATCATTGCCCAGAGCAACGAAACAAGCATGTAGACGCCTGGACCTGAAACGAAAAATAATGAAATCGGAACAATTTATTACGAATATTAGAAAGGCCGCCCTATGACTATATATACTGTAAACAACCTAATTTTTGCGAGTACCTAAGTTTTGCCAATTTCGCGAATCACCTACAATTCGCGAAAAATAGTTCCCGCGAACCATTCCGGTAAAAGTTAAACTCATTGGAATCTACGTAGAATGAGATCGCACTGCTTCGCGAAAATTAGAACCCGCGAATTATTCCAAAGCTTTAGTTTTTACCAAAATCGCAAGATATTGAGTCCGCAAAAAGTAAGTCGTTTACAAATCTTTTTTTTTTTCTTTTCTATCAGCGTAAACGGTCTATAAAGCCTTGGTTCACGAATGCCCGAATCAAAAAAGTTTGACAAATATTTGAGGTATCTTGTATAATTTATATTTGTGAACAGTTTGGGGATGTTACTACCAGGCTGATCTCTAAAGACACCGGCGGCTGAAGAAACGCTCTGTGCGTGACGAATATCAAGCATCTCATAATCGCTCCTATGCCAATAAATTTGCGGTATTAAACGGCAACTCTGGTCGAAAAAGAAACCCAAATAAATGACTGGTCTCGTTTTAGTGGCACTAAATATGACCACAGTCGAAATCTTACGTCTTACGTTAAGGTTGTTAATAGTGCATTTGATTCTCCGCAACTCCTTGAAAGGGTGAACCTTCATGTTCCTTCACGTCTAACTAGACATTTTGTTTGCTTCTATGTTCACTCACTGTGCAATGCATCACTTCTCTCGGATTCAGTCATGATATAACGCCATCGCTTCACCCCATTTTCATATATCTGGAGCTGTTACAATGTACCGTCGCCATTTGAATTATCTAACACTTGCTTCCTAACTTTACGTGTGTTTAGTATTTTTTGTTTGTTTGCTGGTCTTATTGTTCGTGTTGGTGCACCAAGGGGAAGACCGATGAGGTTATTTTGGGGCACCCAAAGTAAATAAAAAAAATAAAAAAAATAGAAAAGTATAAAGGTGAACCCGCGAACTTTACTAAAATTGATTTTAAAGATGCGTCCAGCTAACTGCTCCTTAGCAGGCGGCAAGCGGGTTGGCTTTCAGTCAATGGAACACTGGCGCAGCACGTTTGCGACGTCACGTTGCGGTGGTACTGCGGTTTATTGGTTATTAGATTAGCTCAGTTATCGAACTGCTCATAGACGCTGCTTGCACTGGCAGTACCCCTCTCACTCACAACGACTCGCCTCCCGTCGTTCGACGCGCCAGACGGCCGCTATGGTAACTGCAGTGTATTCTATGGAAGACGTACGTTTCGAAGCACAGCGCCTAGATGGCGTTCCATCTCTGCTCCATGAAACACTTAGTTTTGAAACGAAAATTTAGATGGCGCTTGAAACGAGGAGAGGCAGACTAAAGTGAGTGAGGGGTACCCCCTTCCGGGGGAGTTCCACAAACGAGGTAATCTAGTAACGTTGGTTGTACCGCCTATCGCAGCACATTTGTGACGTCACATCGCGGCTGTACGGCTAATGATCAGTGCTGCCATCCCTCTAGCAGATAGTTTCGGTTTTGCCGTAGACTGCTGATACCGAACACTGAGCCGTAATATTAATATAACTACACAGCATGTAGAAAAAGATATTCCCTGTATTTCAGGGACACTGCTTTAGCTGTGAACAGTCGTAATTCCAATTTCAAGAATACAGACCGGAGTTGCCCTCTAACCAAGAAGAACGCAGAAGAATGAAATTTGAGACGAAACTCCTAATCTTAATGAGCCACGTACGCCTAGCGTTTTTTAAAGATGGGAGTTAGTAGAAGAAAAGACGAATCGCGTTTGGTGGTACGGAAGCTGCGCTCATTTAAGTCATCAACTGGACCTTCTAGATGCTAAGGGAGATATTATACGGAACAGAACTGGGTCTTTGGAAATAGATAAATTTAAGAAGCATGGCGATAAACGCTACGGAAAAGGATGCCAAGGATAAATAACTTTTAATCATAATAAGATGTTTTTTTAGGTATAAAAGCATGCAAAAACCTAACTTTTTTTAAAATTCTTTTGCTTAACAGTAATAACTAGAACGCAATTACAGTGAGGAAGGGAATCCTGCCTTAACTGAACAATTAAGGATGTTGTAGAATAGCTTACAACTTATTTATATTAAGCTGGTCTGAAAGGCATTATACCAATGGAAATTCACGATTGCCCTGTAGGGTGATCCCATGAACTTCAGAGGAATAAGTGTAGAAAAAGTTAATATAGCAGTTATGAGAAATCTCATTGCAGTCTTAGGAGTTTAACAAGTATGTTTAGTTGCAGAAGGTGTTAATACAATAATCTGGCGTAAACTTGTGATAATTCATGAAACTTGTTCTGGATTGGCTTCTGGTTCTTGATATATTCCACTATCATACAAATGAGATGACAAAAAGAAAAAAAAAAAGAAAAGTGAGGTGGTTTGAAAGAAGTTAGCATGGTAAAATTCTTGATCTCAAATTCCCAAAACAAGATTTTTCTGTAATTTGTATAATCGTTTTGCAAGAATAGTCAATGTACCTGCTCGTTCGGCTCCATTCCCACATTCGCAGACTTTGCAGTCACCGTCCATTCTGAACCTTCCGCAGCTGCATTCTGCTTCCGTGCAGCTGGCTTCTGCTTTAGAAATCAGGGTTTGGACACCTACGAAGAAACGACACACATTACATGTTTTACTCGGACAAATTGTTGACCCGCTTGGCATCCACTCCGCTTTAAAGAAAACCTGAATCACATGAAAAAATACTTTTCTAGCTTTTTATAGTTTTTTGTAACTTGAAATATTTAATTATTAAATAGGTCAAAATGTAGCGTAACTTGCTTTAAAGAAAATATAATTCATGCGCGTTAATTGCTACGGTTGGTGCGGCAAACCGTTTTGTCGGATGTTGTGTATCAAAGTCGTCCTAACATTGTTTACGGCCTCCCTGAGCCAGCCGAAATTCAAGATTCATCTGACACTGCCGATGACGATTACATCACTTTCCCTGGTTTTCCTTTTTCTCCTTTGTTCTTCTTCGCTCGGCTTGGAACAGTGTGTAGAGCTATTGAGAAACCTTAATTTAGGATCATCTCAACACTAAAAATATTATTGCTTAATAACTCACAATATAGTAAGGTACCCAAACCCAAAATCTCACATGTTTCCAAAATTCAAAAACCTCTTAAGGTTACTTTTAAATAACAACAGTTTACATCCAAATTTACTAGTTTTACTTGGCTTAAGATTTACGTAAAGCGGCGGCAAAAATAAGGCTACACACTGGAATAATTAAAACTAAACAAATACATTTTTGTTGTTTGCTATAGCACTTTCGATTGTGGCTTTGTTTTCTTTCATTATCAAACATATTATTAGTGAATTCTTAAAACTCACAATAACCTTTGTGTAATCTTGCTGTTTTAAAACAGTAAATGAATACGCGTTACGCAGTATACACATGAAGTCGCCAGAGAAAAGTATGAATGCAGTAGCGACGCAAGATTGCGAAAAAAGTACGGTCATGTCATAAGAACCCGCACATTGGGCACGCCTTGCAAATTTCGCACTTCAAACCTACATACCTGAAATTGGGCACGCCAATGTCGTTACGCAAAAAGTTTAATGTCGAATTTTTAGAGCTGAACTAAGGTCGTGGAATATAAAAAAAAGATAAAGCAAAAATGGTGGCCGTGAGTTTTAATGTCCTATGCTAGCGTGTTCGTCGTCTGCTCACTGGTTAGCGAGCTCGTTCTCGGGTGCCTTGCTGAACGCAAAATGCTGAGAAGCGATAGTAGAATCTGGCGATGAACAATATAACCATGATAAGTAAAAATTTTAACGAAATATTGGAAAAATTACCATTTGGAGCAAGCTCGCAAACCAAAGTGCAGTCAATCAACATCCGGTATATAACACAGAAAATTCACGTCCGCAGATTTTGCACCATTTTTAATAAGCCACCACCTTTGGGTTGAGCTCAATAATATAGACATAAACCTTTTTGAGAAATGACGTTCGCGTGCCCAGTTTACTGTTCTTACGAATAAAATTATAATTTCTCAATGTCACACCCTGCCTATCATCCAATCTTGAGAGTTATTTCAATGGTGAAAAAATTCATTTGTACATTTCCTGGGCCGCTCATGGTTGGTATAATAGAAAGATAAACATCAGGTCTGTAGTCCAACGCTGGTCCGAGTACCCCAGTATGTATCGAATATTGGTATTTGGGCAGCTTTATTGCTCTATTATTAATTCATATATTTTTTTTTTAGTTTTTGTTTGAGTTGATGATTGCTTCTGTTGTTGTGGGGGCAGGGGGCCTTTGCCCAGCAGTTTTATACTTCTATGTTCATTTCCCCCGCTTTTTCATAAAAAAAGACAAAAAAAAAACAACAACTTAAAGCTTGAAATTCGGCCACTATTACCAATGTTGTTTCAATTTTCAAACAATATAATTTTTTTATATTTCGTATGAGGATATTTGCCAAGGTGCTCCATCTATTTACAATAACTTGGTTACAAATAGACAAATAATGAACCACTTTTTGAAACGTTTTTCTAGCGGCGTTTCTGAGAAACATCGACAATTCGTGCCTGGTGACAAGACAGATATAAGCACAAATAAATGTAGAATAATATAATAATACTTCGCCCGTTTTCAGCTCGCAGAGAAAGAAAGCTGAATATTCGAAAAACATGAACTACACGGGCTAACATTTCAATCTTACATTGACATACGTTATTTTCTCTAAGGAATGCTATAGGACGCCAAGGCTCTCGGGAGTCAAATAAAGAAAATATGTTCAACCGCCTCAAAACGTCTGCATATGATATATCGCAATCTGAAGGCCTCTCTACGCGCTAGTAAAAGAATGATATTTGGGATTGATCATTCTGGGGGATTTTAATCTATACAATATGAATGTATTATTTTCAGCATCAAATGAAGTTTAGAACCATTCATTAATGAACATATTTATTTTTATTTGTTTCTATACCTTGAGGGTTTGCTTCCGGGTAATAAAAAAAGGTGCGTCTTAGCAGAATTTTGAAATTTAGTAGGAAACATTAAAAAAACAGTAAGAACAAAACACGTCAAGGCATACAATTTACACAATAATAAAATTACAGCACCTACTACAATTAGAGCTATCATAATTACTATGATTGAATAAAGGCAGCAAGCAAGTCTTGAAATTTAGCGGTGTTAGACTTTGTTAGAACCTTATTGGACAAGAAATTCCATGTCGGAATTGCAATTATTCTATTAATGTGTGCTTAATGTCACTTCTGGCGGAAACTCGGCCGGGGGCTGCTGAGAAAGGCCGTTTTCATCTGCGGATTGTGCTAATGTTGTATCACATGAAGGGGTGATCAGGCAAGCTTACGTTGTAAGGAAAGTTTTTACAGTATATGAAAAATAATCTAAAAAATATATAACTTAATGATTTGTTCTGGATGCTGTCGACTCATTAGCGGGATAACTTTGAAATGGTCACCATATCGATGATGGATATTCAATTTGCAACCTTACCAGGGTTGTGTTGGCTAACGACTTTATTTCTGGTGAAGCTAATTAAAGGTTAGACCTTACATACCGAAGTGTGTTCCATTTGAGGTCGCTGATAATGTGAAGTCCTAAATACTTATGTGCAGGGACCAATACTAGTGCTATATGGGTGGTAAGTGAAGCTACTAACACTCACACGCATAGGCGTGAATGGTAGTAATTAGTGTTAGCAAATATATCAAGCACACCCTGTCAATAGAAAAGAGAACGCTTCCACAGCATCGCCAATTCACCGTGAGCTCGAAAATGACCCCTTTGTTCCCAGAGACGAAATCGGGAGCAGCGGTACCAAACTGCCTTTAAAACAGTGTTAATTGAATCGACGGTTTCCCAAATTAACGGTGGCATAGTTTCAAACTTTGTTGTATTGTTGTCGCTAATAGGCGAGACAAAACACCGGAGTCCACGCTTCTCGCTTGAACCAGACGATTCCGGCGAAGAAATACGCGCGTACGCAGTTGCGTTATAGAGAACTAGACGTGGCCAGAACGCAGTAGAAGCTTTCCCGAGAGAGGGAGCTCTCTTCGTTGGGTAACGCGTAGCCAAGGCACGATGGATGGCAGCGAGTGCGCGAAGAAGAGGAGCTCCTTCTCCATGCTCAACCTATCGCCGACAATATGTAAGCAACATAACACATTTTTTTATGTTTGTTTTCTGCCAAACGATTCACTATACTCCATCCTAAAATACTCACTATACTCCAACCTAAGATCAGTGTCAATGAAACATGAAAGCAGCTATATTGATATTAGGAGAAAAAAATGGCGGGACACAAAACAATACAGGAGGACTCTTAAGATTGCTTACGTGTAGGATTGCGAAGACATTTCTACACACAGCGCATTCCTACGAGCAGCGCGCCACGCTGCGGCGAACCCTGCGGGCTCCACGGCTTCCCTGACGATGCATAGGCGTTGCCTAGGTTTTCTTTGTGTTTGATTTCTGAGGCACCTCCGCTTTGACCTTGGGTGCCTCGGCGGCTTTCGTGACGAAGCATCTGCTTTGCTGTGCCTTTGACAAATGGGCATTTAACTGCTGTTTCGTCACTACAGGTGGTTACAGACACTGCGGGTTTCGCTCCATGAGACAGTTAATGCTTTGGCATAAAAAGCGAGCATTGCGATAGCAGTATATTTCCGAAAATGTATCCCTAAAGTAACCAAAGTCCCAAAGAGCGGCCAGGCTCTTTAAATCGACCGCAAAATTCAATTTCTTAACCTATCGCGTTACGATTTTGTACAGCGTTGGCTACAAGTGGTGCATTTTTTCTATAAAATTCGCAAAGAGCGAGCTTACCTGAGAAAAAAGTAAAAACAAAAAAAGAAAGAAAAAGGCTTTACTCCTATGGAAACGTAGCGAAGCCACCGGTCTTCTAACCATAGGGCGCGCTACGGTTTGAAAACCGGTGGCTTCGTTGCGTTTCCATAGGAATTAAGCCTTTTTTCCTTTTTTACTTTTTGCTCAGGTAAGTTCGCTCTTTGCGAAGTTTATAGAAAAAAACGCACCACCTGTGGTTAACGCTGTACGAAATCGTAACGCGATAGGTTAAGGAACCGATTTAAGCGGTCGATTTAAAGAGCCTGGCCGCTTTTTGGGAGACGCGGTAGATTGAGGTGAAGCAACAAACCACTTGACGAGTAAGCGGCAAGGCCTGGCGTTCATATTTTTTTATGAAAGCGGTATCTTTATAGGGCCAACCAACCTCAGGAGCCGCGTAAGCACCGGCTGTTTACGTCGGTCAATCCGTAATGGTCATTTCACACAACGAACCTAATCGCAATTCTCGTCCGCGGACAGTGTGCAGCGTGACCATCACGTCACCGGTACCTGCGATCCACGCATCGTCCGCGGTCGCGCAAACTTAACTGATCGAACGTCTTTCCACTCGCGGATTTTTAACGGGGAATTAACTTTAAAAGCGTTTAGCATAGTAACAATACAACTTTTTTATTGCTAATTTTTTGCGAACATAACAAAGATTGCGTATGATTGTGTTTGTGCGTTCGCTGGTTCGTTTTGTGGAACGATTCTTGGTTCCCCGGATGAAAGAAGATGCTGGAACTTTGCCCAGCAGACGCGTCGAAGGTGCTCGTAATCCTCCGGGGCCGTGTCAAGAAGCTTCTGTCAAAACTCGTCTAGCATGCTGCGACCTTTTCTGCTCGTCCGTTTAGCCTACCATCTTGCAAGACCTTTCTTACTGATGTCTTGATGAGTAAAGCCGTGCGTGAAGGCATCTCCAAACGCACCTCGGAGTGCCTAGGACCTTGTCTCTTCTACGTCAAAGACTCTTCGAGCAGAACGATGCTTTTGTCAAGCATTGGGTTAGTAAAGCTAGTGGCGCTTCGCGCTAAGACTATCACGGTGTTTTGTCTCGCTCTGCGCGTCTGCACACGAATATTTCTTGTGGTAGTGCCGCGACAGTAGCGCAAAAGGTCGTTTTCTCTCTTTGACCACAATGCCACAGTGCGATGTTGACGTTTTTCGGCGTAGTCGCAAAAACGTTCGGTCCGTGTTTCTCTCGTCTGCTCGTCGCCTCCTCCGAAGGGATGCGATTGGAAGACGAGCGATCAGCAAACATTTCGTAAAGTGATCACTCCGTCAGTGGATAACCCCACCATGTGAATCGTCCACAAATGCTAAACAATCGTAAAAAAAAAATGTAATGCCAGGGATTGAACTCCGATCACCGGCATGGAAGCCGAGTGCTCTGTTGACTGAGCTACGGACCCAGAACGCAGGAACGGAAATAACAAAAGCAGGCGGTGTGAGAAAGCACGCGGAAGGTAATCATAAGTCAGCGTGCCACAGAAAGTGTTTTGAGAATGTTCGCGATAAATTTATGCTGTGTCATGAATATGGTTTACTGGTCGATGAAACTAGGTAATTTGGCCTCCACTTGCTCACTAGCTGGCGACACGGAAGCGCAGGATGGCGCAACGAGTGTCGGTGGACATTTGTCTTGCCTTAAGCGCGCTGCACAATATGCCGAACAAAGCGACAGACGGCTCTGGTAGCACCGAGCGCAACACGTCGTGGAGTGTCAGCTCAGAGTGGACGCGATAGCACTTCGCACCGTAGCTTGCAACCCTGAAGGCAAGAGCTGCGAGAAAGCGGGAGCAGGAAATGCGCCTTCAAAATGACTCGTCGCCGGTGGTGCGACGTAGGATATTATAGAACGAGCACGAGTCAATTGTACCAATAGGTTCTTGATGAAATATTTATGGTTTACTATGCCAATTTTAGATGACCCAGAATTGTATGTAGGCAATACGCTAAATCAACCCAAAAAAGACTAAAGAAAAAAAAAAAAACACGGCCACCAGACATACCACAAAAGGCGTGAAGGGAGTCTTGTTATTTTGCGCCTCCTTATCGTTGCGCACCGTTAAACATGAAACATTTATTTATTTATTTCTACAAATGTGAGGGAGTGGAGGGTAACTGCAAAGAATTCTAGTTTTTGCAACCTGGCCAATTCTGTTCTATATGAACAAAGGATAACAATATCTTCCACAATTAGGCTGGCTTTCTCGCGGCAGAAAACAAAAATGACAAAGCCCCCCCCCCCCCCCCCCCAAAAAAAAAAAGTTACTAAGGGTAGGAGTGCAGGAATATGGTAAGATATTCAAACATTGTAGTAAAAAAATACTGAGTGAATATGTTTTTTGTTTATTAAGCTTAGACAACTTTTTATCTTTCCCAAATCTTTGTATTCAAACAGTTTGTAAACTTTAAAAACAATAGTGGTGATTTCTTTCGGGATATAGGCTGCTGTTTTGGAGCAAACAAGAGTCAAGTTTTTGTCTGACGTAAAAACTATCAAATACCCTGACTGATCGCTGATGTTTGGGCAAACGTCACGTGTTGAAAAACAACAACAGTTATGAGCAAATTAATTAAAATAAAGAGTAATAAAGGACGGAAGATTAAAACGAAGCATGTGTTGTTTCATACCAAAGCAAGTGAGGTTGCAGTTTTCGAGCAGCCTGAAGCTGTTGTCGTTCCCGCCGCAGCCGGCGTAGATGAAGCTGATGCAGTCCTCTTTTTGAGCGTCATAGAAGAACCTGGTTTCGGGCCGAGTTTCGCTGCCATCACAAGAACCTTCATCTAGTGGGAGGTGGCAGAGTGCTGAAAACATTGGACACATGTTTGGATATGTTAAGTAAACCAGAGCTGTGTTTGTTTGCTTCGTGTGGTTTCAATTTGTTTGCCTTTTATGAAAATTATGTGGGGCTGCATGCGTTTTATTCTAGCCATATATAATTATTTCATTTAGTGCAGGCATGTTAGAGGTTTATTTTTGTACACGTTCGGTGTGAAAGGCCAAAAAGTTAATCAGTGAAACGTAAGAAATATGGCACCTTATTACTCATCGCATAGAGTTTACATAGCGCAATGGAATTGTCCTTTTAGCATCAAGAATAAATAAAAACAAATTTATTATTTAAAAATTTTGAAGCAAAAAAAAAAACAACAACAAAAAAAAAAGCTATCAAAGTTAGCAGGCTAAGAAATTCCAATATCTGAGGGATTTGTAGAGATAGACAAATTTCTTTCTCAACGTTTGTACGTTTTTTTTACAATAGGCTGACGCAGAACATGGGGCAGAGCTAGCAGAAACATCTGTCACCGATGTTTCCAGTTTTAATAACAAATGCCTGTCTCTGATTAAATAGTTAGTGTCAAAGACGGGTCACCTAAAGCACGAATGTGCGTAAGCTGACGCTCTTCATTTCGTTGTATTGGTAAGAAAATTATAAATGACGTCTCTGTGCTTTTATTTTGCGGTGAACAAGTTAAGAAGATGGCAACAAGGGGCTAATATTAAGATTCGAGACGAAATGTATGAAGAGCTTGCGCAAAGCTCTTTCCTTGTTCAGCATTAGGACGACGAGGAGTGCCAGGGTAGAAACAGAATAGATGGGCGTTTCGCTTACTTGGGTCTAAACAGGTGTTTAAAGCTCATCATCAGTCTAAGTTTCCTTCACAGGGGAAGGGCTTCAGGTTTTTTCTAATAAGTAACCGCAATAAAGACCAGTGGGCCAACGAGCGTTCTTTCAGCGCGCACACTATCACCTTTTTTATCATAGTACTCTCAAGATATTTCGAAATGTAAAATAGAATAAACAACTATATCTATGCGCAGGAAAATAAGAATGCACTAAAGTTATGTCTTCAAAATTTGCGAACAAATTACGCTCCCCGTTGTTATCCCACACGTCAACGACCATTTTTGTTTTTGTATATTTTTGGCTCGCGCCCTCATTGTTTTAAAATGTTTACATCGGGTAATTGTATTTAAATTGTGGATACTTTAATGAGTTCCCAAAATTAAAACCATAGGAAAACGCTTTTTTTTAAGAAGGTTTTTATTTCGTAAATTTTATATGTATAAAGGCTGTGAATGACATCTGGATCCAAACCACAAGGCTAGTTTTGGATCCACACAAAAAAATGTGAATTCTTTTTTCAATCCAAGTCAGGAAGATGCGAGAAATACGCAAAAAATGCAAGAATACTAAAATATAAAATAAAAGAAACGATGTATAAAAAAGCTCTTACCTCTGTCAGGAGTAGGCCCCTCCACCTTCTTTCTCGAATCTGGAAAAGGATGTCAAAAACACTTAAAAAGGTCACTTAACATGGGGAGTCTTTTTCCGCGAGTACACACTAAAAAGGGGTGTATTCTTAGACCTTTTGTTGCATATAATAACCCCGAATCTCCAATTTGACGTACACCGCACTGAGTTTAAACCGACGGCACCAACGTTCAAGAGCGGCTTAGTAGCCGCGTTCTACACCTTATTAAAATAGCTAATGTAATAGTGACTAAGTGCATAAAAGTAATCGGAGTTTTGCAGTATACTGCAAAACTTGAGTTTTTTTTTGTTTTTCTCCTGTAGTTTTTAATATGTACTTCAACTGTTTAATATGTTGGATCGCACCGTCATCAAGCCTCTCGTAAAAGTTGGGGCCGTCAGTTCAACACCAGTGCACTGTACGTCGAACTGAAGTTTTGGGGTGTATTATATTGCACAAAGGGTGTAATTGCTGCACCCTTTTTTTTCGAGTGTACGGGCCCAATTCTGGTTTGTACAGTGTCGCAAATCGAGACATTAGCTACGGGGTGACCACCGCAATTTGTCGCGAGAGCGTGGAATGTTCTGTTCAATTTAAATTTTTTCGTAGAATGAAAGTTAACCCAATTTTTTTTTGCACGCAGAGGCGTTAGCAAACTAACGTCATTTATGCCGAATGTCTACATACTTACCTTTAAACTTAGTCGCAACCAATTTTTTTTTCTTTCGAGGATATTTAAATATTTTGCGGTAGCAGGTCGCGCTTTTATCCTTTGTGGGATTGGTTGTTTATAATTTCCACGCATCTACTTCAAAGCTGTCGCTTTAAAAAAACAATTAAGTCATAGTAAGAATAACTGATCCCACCAGGTACAACCCCTATCACTAAACGTCTAGTCACACTTAGTCAGTGATTGAATCAATTTTTATGCAAGGTGTAATAAGAGTATAGAGACATAAATATATCTTATAGTTACTAATCAGAGTATCTCATAATCTTTAGGTGAGAGTTGTTAATTAGAACAATAATAATAATCGGATTTTGTTTGGTCCTCTTTTTGTCCACATTTTCGAGAACCTATCGTTGGAAGTAAAAATTGCATATCTAACATTTTTTCTCCAGTATATAGAATATATTTCGCTATGCCGCAAGGCAGTATTTTTACTGCCCACTTTTTTTCGTCAGTGTAGACTATTTTCCTACCCATCCTAGTTTCTTAAGATCTTGGTCCACAAATGCCTTAAACTCTGATATCTGGGTTCAGAAATGCATATATAAGCGAGACTTGTTTTTGTGACTTGAATTCAACATGATGCGTGTTGTCAGTATTTTTATTCCTTATAACCTTACTAAAGATAACAAAACATATCGGTCTGTCATGTTCCTAGAGACGACAATGTTTGTTTTCAGCTCCAAGGAAGGCAAAATATCTAGCGGAAAAGATATGAAGGAAAGAAGCTATGAGCTGGCGCTTATTCCAGTATGCAGCAAAAAAAATGAAGATCCTGGCGGTTACGAAGTGAGACAGAGGAACAGAAGAGGATCAGGAGTCACCAATAGCTAACACGCTAAAAAGCCCGTCATAAAATCAAAAATAATATAAGATTGAAGTGCCGCATTAGAAGTCCTCTATAAAGGTTGACGTTGGCTTGACGACACCACCGGCCCAGGTAGCACGCCAGACTTGCAAGCTTGCGCCTAGTTTTGCACAAGCTTGCAAAACAAGGCGTTAGTTAGTGCCCGCGTACTTTTTGTTGGTGTTTTTACGGCTTTCCTCTGGCTCACCGCATAATTACGAAACTGCCACGCTTCAGCCAAGGATACCACGTGCAAACCTGAGAACCAGCAGTGAAGCCTACACTCTAAAAAGAAAGGGCGTATTCTTACACCCTTTGTCCCATATAATACACCCCAAAACGTCAGTTTGACGTACAACGCACTGACGTCGATCTCACGGTACTAACTTTCAAGAGAGGCTTGATAGCTTGTGGTACAACTTATTAAAATAGCTAATGTACGTGTTACTCACTACAAAAGAAGTAATCGGGGTTTTCTTGGCTCTACTGCAAAAACTCAGTGTTTTCGTTCTGTTGTTTTTGATACGTACTTTAGCTATTTAAAAAGTTATATCGCACCGTTATCAAGTCCCTTGTAAAATTTGGGGCCGTGTGTTCGGCTATAGTCCGCTGTACGTCGAACGAAAGTTTTCGGGTGCATTATATGGAACAATGAATGTACGGTGACACCCTTTTTTTAGAGTGTAAATCTGACACTTGCTTGGCGATTTAGGCATAAAGGTGTCAAATGACAGCGAAACTACCGTGTAGTGAGGCATAACTTTGGTACATGTTAGGGGAATTAGGGTCACGGAACCCGGGCTTCGGCCAAATGGGTCAACTTTGGTTTTACCTTGTCTTCTTCGGGCTTTTAAAGGCCTTGCATTCTCAGACAAGAACCCAAGTTTGACCAAAAACTGCGCTCTCTGGGCAGTCATTTTCTCACCGATTTTCAACGTTTAATACGTTTCTAACTACATTGCCACATGTTTGTATGGAGCTATATAGTTATCATAGGGGTGAGATGTTCCTTCTCGAATGCAAGTTACCGGTGCGTCGACGTAACTATGCCAAGAATCATTAACACGAAATTATCACAGTTGACTTCTATTACTTTTACAGCTTGGGTAAGAATGTCTCTTACATATCTTGAGGTAAGACATTGCAGTTTACTAGAACTTTACTTAGAGACAATCATAAAATAAATAAAAAAATAAAAACATTAACCAGTAAGACAAGTTGTAAATTTCTCTGTGTGGTTCCTTAAAACTTGTGCCTTAATTTCTCGCTATTTACATGTTGAAATACTGCAACGAGCTAATAAAAAAAAGCACTTTAACATAATAGGCAAAATTCACTTGGATAATTCATTTTCGCTTAGAAGCTATGCTAGATAAAAAAATATGAGCGATGATTTAGAGTGATGTCGATGTTTTCCAGATGCTTGAGTTCATATACTCTGTAGGGACCAAGTGTAGGTCCTACACATTTATTTACACTATTTACACTTTACAATATGTAACGCTATGAGGGATATCTTCGGTACCCTCCGAGATTGTCGGCCGTGCTGCACGCTTAGTCGAGTGTCGCGCGCTACCCGAACTTGCGCTCCACTTTTCTTCTTGGCGCTCGGAGCCTACAATACTCTCCCTACCCTGTCTCGTTCCCGCCTTGCTAGGATGACCGTGCGATGGTGGTAAACACCACGTCACTTGGCGAGGCTGAGCTCGGGGATAATCGCCTGTGTTTGTTTGGTTGCGGTGAATAGTGATCGTCGTGTGTGACGGAGAGTTTGATAGTCTAGATCCAAACTTACAGGAGTCTCTGCGGTTGTTTTCGGAATAAGCAGAGCTGGGTCTGTTGAATTCTTGAGGTGCTTGTCTGCAGTGGAGGTGTTCTGTGTGGGTCTGATTAGGTCGAGGGGATCGGTTTGAGGTGAGGCAGTGGAGATCAATGGTTGGTCGAGCGGGAATGGTGGAAGCATGAATGGCATGGTTTGGATTACCAAGCGGTTCCTGATGAGCGGGTTTTAGGCGGTAAATGGAAACGGTTTCTTGGCGCCCATTGTAGTCGACTGTAAAAGTATTGGCTTCTCTTAGGCGGCCCGGTGTATGGTTGTTGAAGCGATCTTTTAGAGCCGTCCATGCGTAGAAATACGTGGCTGCACGTTTCAAGGTCGTTAGATACCTATACTGGAGCTCGTGCTTGCTTGCTTATGTGGGTCGGGGATTTCGCATTATCGTTCGCAGCTGATTGGCATATGTCTTAGGACCAGGAGCTGGCTCTTCCATACCAGGGCCCGTTTACTCAAAGCGCTAACCGCGGCTAAAGTTAGCCGCAGTAGCTAGGAGAGGGATTTTGAAATCACGTGACTAGCTCGGTAGAGATGCGGGGAAATATGGCGGTGCCCCGGTGAGTGAGCGCCGCTCGCTTTGGAACTAATATGTCGTTGTAGCTGCAATATAGGGCGGCTTAGTCAGCAAGGAATGGTGCAGGAGGCTTTCGCTTTGCTTTACCTCGCTTAAATCGCAAAGCACGAGCAATGACCTCGCCGCACGTTTTGGATAGTTTTTCGATTCTGGCCATTTCTAAGCCTAAATTAACGCCATAATTGTCGGCATGGCAACGTCTTTGGAAAGCGGATTGCCTTGACTCAATCGACCGGGTATTGATAGCCCACAAAAGCAGACAGCGTCCCAATTGATAGACCATTTTCTAAATTACCCAAGCATCGAGGAGAACGCTGGAAGTGTAATTCTATGGTCCGCGCGCGCTGGCCTTCCTCTTATAAAAGATTCGAAGTAAATAATCATACTAAGACTTTGACGAACGCGCGTGCAAGGCCAAATTTGTTTTAGACTTTTGCTTTAGAACATTTACTACTGCAGACGCCAGCAGGTGTAACGCGTGTAACTACACTCGTAGCATGCACCACGGCGCTTGTGAAATTTTGTGCTATTAATACCCGGCCGATTGAGTCAAGGCAATCCACTTTCCAAAGAAGTTGCCATGCCCACAATTATCGTATTCATTTAAGCTTAGGAATGGCCAGAATCAAAAGACTATCTCGAAATTGCGGCGAGGTCATTGCTCGTGCTTTGCGATTTAAGTGCGGTAAGGCAAAGCGAAAGCCTCCTGCACCATTCGCTACTGACCAACGCGCCCGATATTGCAGCTACAACGACATAGTTGTTCCAAAGCGAGCGGCGCTCTCTCAGCGGGGCACCGCCATGTTTCCCCGCATCCCTACCGAGCCCAGTCACATGATTTCAAAATTCCTCTCCTACGTACCGCGGTTAACTTTAGCCGCGGTTAGCGCTTCGAGCAAACGGGCCCTATGTGAAAAATTTTCCGGGTAGGCGTAGGGTAGAGCCATATACCAACTCGGCTGGACTGTAGCCCAGGTCTCGCTTCAAAGCTGCCCGAAGTCCAAGGAGAACGATCGGCAAGTATGTGTTCCAGCTA